AAAAGTGTACAGCGAGCGATTCCAGAAGCTTTCGTATGGCTTCACTATAGGCAGCCTCTCACATGGCCGTGGGTCAACACCAATGGTACCATTTTGGGGTAGGTGCACCACCCATTTTAGTCAATTTCAGTGGGGATTGGGATCACTGGGGGTACGGGGTTTTGACCCATTGGCCACATGGACTATACCCACATTCCGGTTTTTCTCCAACAAACGAGGGCTTCCCAAGTCTTGTTTTAATGTTCGAAACGGTCTGTCCGGCACTGTTGCATCCGTGGTTTCTTGGCTCAGCTGGCAGCTTTGCAGACCGGGCCGGCAACTGTTGCTGGGCGGACATAAGGACGAGCGGGATTCAAGCGTGTGGTTTCCGCAAGGGAGCAGAAACATTGATTTGTTTTTCTGGTTGGGTGAGAACCAAGCGAACGCGCCAAGCAAACAGTTTGTGTTGGTTCGGCCGTAAAACCACAAGAAAGCCAGCCAGTGCTGATGACATTCTATAGCTGTTCCTTGGAGTCATCAACTTAGCAGATGTCATTAGCAGACGTCATTAGGGTGTGTGTCAACATAGGAGACCCCCTTGTCTCGGTTTTCCCTTGGGTTCCTTTCGAAACCACCCACAAAATGGCGCCCGAAAAAAACACACAAACGCACCCATTAGCAGATGACATTCCACCTTAAACTTATCCTTCTCGATGATTGGCAATCCTTGGGTCTCGGATTGGGAAGCCAATATCACGATTCGCTCAGTTATCCTGTGAATCAGCTTCCCGCTAGCTCTTGGTTTGGATTTGTGGTTTGGAGGTTAGGTGTGTGTGTTTTACCCTTACAAGAACTGGGGGGTTCGAATCCCCAGACCCCGATCCAAACCACCAACCAGGCGTTACCTGACGACTTGGCTTGAGTGATTCGCCGTTTGATCCTGCAGGTTGGGGAAGTGACAAATAGAGGCCACCATTCCGGTCATGCCAATGGGATCCACTTGCTTTGCTCTGCCCTCCCAGCCACACACCTGATCAATATGTAGTGAAAACAGACCAACATAGCATTTGCGATGGCAGACGACTGTTTTATTCCAGAAAGAATCGATCAACGCCTAGCATGTTAAAATGGAATCAATATGTTTTGAACAGCAACATGAGAATGAGTTGGGTTCAACCAATACGGATCAACATGGATCAACCTTTTATTTGGGTGACGACCAACAAGGATTAGAAGATTCGTTGAGTTACAACCAATCTGAAATCGTGACATTTGTCGATCCCCTGCAAGCATATTCTGACTCGCGCTGTTTCTTGGCCGGAGCGTTGAAAAGCCTTTCTCAGACAGTGGGACGGGCAAATCTGTGCACGTGATCCTGGGTTCTTCCGTGGTACTGTTTTTGATGCTGCGAATACGAATGTGCTATGCTCCACTCTGAACTGCCAATGCTCTGTTTCAGCAACATATGATGGAGGCCTGCCTGCTTAGTGGTTGAAGCTTTCCGTTCATATTTGACAGGCTGAAGCCAAAATTGCCTTTGCCCAAGCTTAAACCGAACTGAAGCCTTCGCAGTTTAAAGCAAAAACCTTTTTCCACCTGCGGTTTAGGGTAACCAATTTTGACACCATGTTGTTTGTTTTTATGACACCGAACTGACGCCTTCCACGGCGTCGCCCCTTTTCAGCCGAACCCATTCGCCCCCATGGCGCCCCTTCGCGCTCTGCACGCGCTGAGGCCATGGCGGAGGTACAGCAGCAGTGGAAGCCCAGCTGCTCGGATCGAGGGGCGCTCCCAACCAGAAAAAAGGAAAACGGGAAAATGGGCTATTGATCTCGGGAAAACGGTAAACGGGGGTTTGTTTCCTGGATTCCATGTTTTGTTCTGGGCAAATGGGCTATTTTTTGGAGGAATCCAGGAAAGAACCCCAAAACAAAACGGGAAAACAATCCAAATCAAATCCCCCAAAAAACGTGGTGCGGAGATATCCGCCTTGGGTCAACTCTTTTACATATTATTTTAGGTGCACCAATTTTTGGATCAGGTTTTGATGATGACTCAAATTGAGTTCCCCCTTTGTGATGGTTTGAGCATGATCTCTTGAGCGTTGAACATGAGTTTCCTTGCGTGATGTTCAAGGACGAAATCTCAGCTGCCCAAAGCGAATCGACGAATCGACCTTTTCACCTTTTGGTTTTCCAGTTTTGGCCCAAATTTTGTCACGGTCCCAAAAGGTTAACCTTCCAATTCCAGGTCCTTTGGGCAAGGAAGGTAGATCGGGCGCCTGGTGGGTGTTTCTCAAAATGGACCTCAGATGATTTGGTCTCTCATTTGAACACGATTCACAAACGTTAGTACACCAGCACCAGGGGTCATGCCGGTTCATATCTCGGTTACATGGTATCACTGCTCTAAAAGCGTGTTCCTCTTCTCTTTTGGACCAACAGCAACTTTGACAGGTTTTCCCTCAAGCCCGACAATTCCCCTGAAAACCAGAAATGACGCCCGTAGTTCTCTCAATCTTTCTTTTTTGATTGCACCTCTCGAGATGGGCGCGGACGTGCAAAAGCATGACGGCGACATATTCATGCTTTTCGTCCTGCCCTGGTGAAGAGTTTTGGAAAGCTGCTGCTTAACTTTATTTTCAATGTATTTATCTTAACCGAGTATAAACAATATAGATTAACCAAATAATATAATATACATATATATATATATATGTATTAATAAAAAACAATAGTTACTATTTATGTGGGATCTCATCCGGTCAGCTCCAAGATCTGGCTTTGGCAGAGGCTCCGCCGGCTCCGAACACGAGCTGTCTAGTTTCCTGAGATGCGGAAGATGTGGTGCGTGTCTCACAAAAACTGGGGCCTCAAGCCATCCCAAAAGACTCCATGAGCCGGCACTTCTCCCCGCATTTCCATGTGATAGGGCTGTTTGGTTATAATTGGTTCTGTTGCGTCGTTGTTTCTTCCACGGCTTTTTGTGTGTGGATGGTTTCTGGTTGAGTTTGAGCTTGTGACCCTACCCTAGACAGCCCCCCCCTCCCCCAACAACAAAAGAGGAAAAAGCAACAGGAGCCAGAACAGTAATTGTGATGTCCGTTGTCTGATTTCGGGTTTACCTGGTTGAATTGTTCAACGGACACCAAGGTGAAGGAAATCCCGTGTTAGTTTCCCAAAGTTCTCGCCAAACGGAAAACCCCCGGTTTGTTAACTTTCGACCCTTGTAGTTTTCCGGTTCCAAATCAGCGCAACCCCCGAGACCAGTGGAGATTCGGAGATGGCCGCCCCCAGCTCCGTGAGGCTACAAGGGATGGGGCAAAGGCTGGGGCTGGGGCGGCTTGGCTGCAAGAGATTCTTCGATGCCCCAGCTCTTGGGCATCGATTTGTTGACCCCGGGTCGATCAACCCCAGCTCACTTTTTGGGGGGTTGTCAAATCAGACCACTTTTGGGGGAGTGTTCCCCCGAATAAACTGGTGTGGATCACTAGGGGGTGAACATGAATGGAAATGCCACAGATCTTGGCGTTGAGGTTCGCGTTTCGCCAGCTATCCAATCAATCAAGTAATGCTTGGAACTGTGGGGGACAGACCTTTTTAAGGGATGATTTGGTGGCCACCAGCCGTGGCCACCCTCTTCGGCTTTGGCAGTGGTTGCTCTTGAAAACAGATGCAGAGGAATGCGATGCTTTTTCCGGTCAAACCAGCAGCCCGACGCCTTTGAGCCGAGCGGTTTTTTTTCCGCGCTCAAAACGCCGACTCCCAGACAAGCTCACCCCATGACAGCATTCTTTCAGTACTCTGGGAATTGGCCTCTTTCCGAGTTGTGATTGATGCTGACGGAGAAACAGCTGCACCCATCGGGATGGACCTGGCCTCATCACTTGCAGTTTACCTGGCGCCTTTCATGTGAGAAGCTTCCTGGCTCTCTCTCTCTCTCTCTCACGCGAGTGAGGCAAAGGATGGGGCGGCAAAGGCAGGAGCCACAGGTTGAGTGCGTTTCGTGCGGCCATCTGAAACCTGGGATGAAGGGTGACGGTCAGGCGATGTTTGTCTTCCAAGCTGCCAGAGCAAAGTGAGTTGATATTTGGGTACTTCCCCCCCCTTCCAAAAACCAAGAAACATCTTGGTTTCATTGGATTCGTTTGCGGTTGCATGTGTCTCACAACTTGCAGGTCGATATGGCTGATGCTTGGAGCGGGCTCCAAAATGGCACACAAATCCCGGACTCCAGAAATCCTCTTTTCAGGTGGCCTGAAAGGTGGCATGATGATGGGCAGCAAGGGCAAGGCTCGGATTCTCGGATGGCTTTACTGCGCGCGTGCGTGCCCGCACGAGGAGTTGGGTCTCGGATCAAGAATCGCCCGCGTCGAATCGGGCGAAAAACTCCAAGGTCTTTCGCTGGGGTTTTGTTTATTTCCAGCTTGGGACTAGCACTGGCAATGGCTTCCCTTTCCAATTTGGCTTCAACTTATGCCTGCTTTTCGGGGAATATCAAAAGTGGTGGGGTTTCCTTTGGTATTCCTTCAAACCACAAAATGGGTACCCTCACGAAATGATAACCGCACATGGGTGGTTCTCAACATCATACACCGATTCCTTTCTCTCTGCGAACTTCATTTGCTTCGCTTTGGCTTTTCCTGTGGAACGTGAATATCTTATTTGAGGGGTCCCCATTGAGTTCACCGGAATCCTTAGGTATGGTGTAAAGCACTTAAACATTGAGGGGAGTCCTTAGTTGCTTCGCATTGGATTTTACCGTGCCTAAGGTTTGCCTTCCAACTCACCAAACGAGGGGTCCCCTATTGAATGACGCAAGCTTTTGAATATGGGCGAGACCAAATAGCCAGTCCAAATCCTCAAGTAGAAGACGCCGGCAAGTTGCGGCCAATGCGCCGGAGGCTTCCAACATTGTCAAGCATATCAAACTGAGAATGGAAAAAGCCATTCGCAGAGGCCCCGCCTTTCAACACCAATGCAAATATGTCTGACTACTGCCTACGTCCTCCAGTAGGGAGG